TATTATTTACTCTGAGGAGTTGGGAGGGGAGATTCTGTGCTATTGTGCCTCAGGTAACAAAATACGTTCGCTAGCATTGAGTACTCCACACCTTGTCATGGAGAAAGTGTCAAGGGCATCTCTGCCTTAGAAAAAAAATGTCTTCAAATGGCTCGTGTTTGCATATAACTCTAAGCTGGAATTTAGCACAGCATGCATAAAGAGCAATGAACTGAGCCAAGCTTCCAGATCCAACACATCTCACCTGCCTGCAAAATTTATTTCACTTTCTGTGAATGTTGGCTTGTTGTTAGCTTCTGATCAGAACCTGTATTAAGATGGTCATTAAGAAGAATGCATCTCCTCTACATGTTTTCTCTGTCTGATCCACTTCCCCTCCCACAACAAACTGCCTCAGAGAAATTTGCCTCGGCAGTTGGACCTTCAAATGAAGGCCACTTTCAGTGCCCGTTCACAAAACAAAGCATGCTAAATGCAAGATACGTAGGTGACGAAAACCACGTGCTGTGACAAACGAGTCCTTTCCATCACTTCAGGGGAGCACCTAGAGCATCGGTTCCCAACCTTGGGTAACCCAGATCTTCTTGAATGGCAATTCCCAGAAGCCTTTGCCATTAATGGTGTCAGCCGGGCTTTCTAGAAATTGCCGTCCAAGAACACCTGGGTTACCCAAGGCTGGGAACCACTGACCTAGCGTATCATATATGAGCAAAAGGGAAATACAAGCAAGCTCAGAACTCCATGGGTTTAGGAAGTTCAAAGAATTATTTGGGTGTGTGTGGAAAAAATCCCACCGGTTAAAAGAATTCGTAAGAGAACAATGAAGTCCAGACGTGCTGAATGCCAACGTTGTTTGTCGTAAATGGAAAACTGAGTGGTCGTGGTGAATGAAGAAGAGGTGAGAGTTGGGGGGTGTTCTAGAACTCTGAAAATAGTTTTCCATGCTGCCGTGTTTGGCCACCTTCTAACAGCGAATTCCACAATGTGTTTGAAGCGTATCTAGCAGCGTGATCCATCAGTATCTGTCCCCGGGCGAATTCGCCATCTTTGTGGAGTGCACAACGAGCGAATGGCATGTCACGGCTCAGAAACCGGTGACTGTGCACGACAAAATGGACAAGCTGATGGTTACCGGGTGCTTCAGTGAGAAGGAAAGCGGGAACCGCTCTCACTGCCGGACCCTCTACGAGGAGCCCCTGTGGATTCAAGTGGAACTCAACGGAGGTTAGAATCGTTGTGGCTGTCGTCGTTATGCACCGTTCCGTTGCATGTTAGCATTGCAGAAGGAGAGCATGGCTCTCTCAGTACTCAAAGGTTATGTACCCAACTTCCCACAGTTCTGGGAGTCAAAAAGTAACTTTTTTGACCTCTGCATCTAGTGAGCCAAGCCAGATCCTTTAAAAGCACACCTCACTCAAAGGTTATGTACCCAACTTCCCACAATTCTGGGAGTCGAAAAAGTAACTTTTTTTTACCTCTGCATCTCATGAGCCAATCCAGATCCTTTAAAAGCACACCTTGGGTTAAGCACTTTGGTTCTGAAACCTGGTATCGGAAAACACAAGAGTGACGAATCAAAAAGGTGTCGCAAGCATGCTGCAGAACACATTGGGTGGAATTAATAAGGTGTCGCATCTCTAGGGTTGGGATATTTCCCAAAGTCCTAAAGCAGCCACCCCAATACACTGCCTTGCCCCCATGGCATGCAACGCTCAACAAGGAGCCCTGCCCAGGGATCCTTGCAGTAGGCGTAGTTCCAATCCCTCTCTGGATCCAGAACCTCTGCCACACTGTAAGTGCCCTTGACCTCCAAGCAACTTTCTCCTCTGGATCCTAGGAGTCACCTACTGCATGCTCATGTCCTCCCTTCTAGTGACTCTCCCACCTCTAAGGCTTCTCCTAGAGCAGTGGTCCCCAAGCTTGGTCCTCCAGCTGTTCTTGGACTTCAAACTCCCAGAAATCCTGGCCAGCAGAGGTGGTGGTGAAGGATTCTGGGAGGTGTAGTCCAAGAACATCTGGAGGCCCAAGGTTGGGGACCACTGCCCTAGAGGTCTCCTCCCTCACCTGAGTCAGGTGTTCCCAACCCAGGCCTGTCTCCGATGCAGCAGCAGGTTCCGAGGGGTTTCCCTGGCTGTTGGGGATGGGGGCCAATGTCCTGCCGGGGCCACCAACAATGACCCATTCACATTTGCCATCTCACGATTTGATCAAACAGGACAGCAAGGGTAAACCACTGCTGAAAACCTGAGGATTTGGAACTTTTAAGATTCACGCCTTTATTTTTGGGTGAGTTTTCCATAGTGACAACTCACCTTTTGTACAATTACAGTATTTCCTTTTAAGGGGCTGGGATCTTGGCAGATATTTACGTGGTCTACAAAAAGAATCCTGGAAATTAGCGAGGCTAATTAATTAAGGGCCATTCCCATGTCAGTTGCTTGCCTAGTGGCACCCTGTGAATTTGCTGCAATTAGCCGCAGCATTTTCCATAATTCATCTTGTATATGCATAAATGGTCAACAGGAATTAGTGTTTGTATTTTATGGGGGATTTGTCAATGAATCTAAACTGTTACAAGCACCTAAGGCACAAAACAAACAAACATGATATAAATATATTCGCGAAGGCTTTCATGGCCGGGATCTAATGGTTGTTGTGGGTTTTTCAGGCTCTTTGGCCATGTTCTGAAGGTTGTTCTTCCTAATGTTTCACCAGTCTCTGTGGCCGGCATATTCAGAGGACAGCACTCTGTGCTCTGGTGTAGTTGGCTTTGGGAGTGCAGTATTTATGGCTGTGGGATAGGCTTTTGTCTTTTTCTGTAGATGGGTGATTAGTGTGCATTGTTGTGGGTGTATAAATATTTTTTTTAAAAAAATGAGGTTTATAGTGAAGACATAGAGAAGAAAGGATAATTTTCATTACACGGAAGGCAAATTTGGAAATGTTTTGCTTCGCAGGAAGTGAAGTGACCTACAGTGTTCTAAGTGGTAACAAGACTCTGCTGGAATCCAGCGTAAAAGCAGGAATTGTTCCTCATAATCTCACCCTGGATAGCGCATCCCAACAGCTGATTGGTCCTGGGCTACACAGCCTTGAAATTGTTGCATCCAGCAACACCACGGAATCAGAGATCGCAGAAATCCTTACCATTCACTTGGTCCAACCAGTTTCGGGTCTGCAGGCTGAATTGACGTCTCACTCTGTGGAGTTAGGAAAAGATCTGGAAATCACGGTGTCTGTCCATCATGGTGCTCCTGAAAAACTGAAGTTTGAGGTGATTGGGCCAAATGACACGTTTTCCCACTTGAGAGACTGTCCCGAAGGCGAAGCTGAAACCTACAGGATACCAGTGGAAGTTGAAGGTACTGTGATATTGAAGCATCACCGTTGGGATAGCTGTGTCTTCTTCACAAGTTAAAGCAAACAGCAAAAAAAGAGAGAGAAGGGAAATGTTTGATAGAGTTTAGTAGTAGAGTTAAGTGACTTCGGGACTTCAGAAGTTGTTGCTCCCATAAGATGTGGTCAGCATGGCAGAGGACCATGGATTATAGGACATGTGGAGGTAGAAGTTGCTTATCCCTCTGGGACTCCTGTCAAAATATTCTGCATTCAAGTATATAGTTTATTATTACACCCGTACTGTCATATAACCACTTCAGACCAATCTATTTACTAGGCATAGAATTTTCAGATATTTTTCACTACCACCACCAGAATTTATCAAGAATCCCCCAGATAGAATTCTGGTAGCTTTAGTCAAAAACTTCAAAGTTTTAGATGAGTTTCAGGATCCTGAAGTTGTTGCTCCCATAAGATGTGGTCAGTATGGCAGAGGACCATGGCTTATAGGACATGTGGAGGTAGAGGTTGCTTATTCCTCTGGGCACCCTTGTCAAAATATTCTGCATTCAAATATATAGTTTATTATTACAGCCATACTGTTGTATAACCACTTCAGACCAATCTATTTACCAGGCATAGGATTTTCAGATATTTTTCACTACCACCACCAGAATTTATCAAGAATCCCCCAGATAGAATTCTGGTGGCTTTAGTCAAAAACTTCAAAGTTTTAGATGAGTTTCAGGATCCTTACTAAGGCTCTATCTGCAGCCATGGCCATTAAGCCTGGAGGAGGTTATGAGTGAAACTTTCTGTGCTCCATGGGAACTGCAAGGCATTAGGGATGGTAGTCTCTCTGTTTCTTAGACTCTGTAGAGGGTGCTTCTTTAAAAACCACCAGTCCCTTAATGCTTTGCAGTTTCCCGTGAAGCTTATAAAGCTCCATCGATGTCCTTTTCCATGCCTAATCAATGTTGCTCTGAAGAGAACCTTGGCGAGAAACAGATGAGGATCCTGAAAGTGTTCTGGTTAGTTTTTGTGCCTCCTCAGCAACCTGACACATCAGTGCTACCATCACCTGTCTCTGGGTTTGGCATGATGATTTGGGGAATCAGTTTCCTTCTTGGGGTATGAAGCCAAAAGAGTGCAACCCCAAGATGATGGGAGCAAAAGCAGAAGCTGTTGTGTCGCACCATTTCTGACCTCTCACACAATAAGGGTCTCATGCTGGGTTAGTGGCTACTGCTTGTCACCACCAAATTTTGCCACCAAACCTATCAGACTCCCTTCTTACTTTCCCAAGGCTTGCCCTTGGCCTCTGAGACTCTTCCCTGACCCCCTTTTCCTTTTTAAAGGATGATTCTCATTCATCTTTTGTGTCTTTTTAAGGTACCTTTCTGGTCAAGGTCATTGCAATGAATGCCTTCTCCAACATGAGCACTGATGTAGGAACTGTGATTGTGTCATCTAACAGTTCTCATCAAGAAGGTAAGGATGCAGAACGAAGATCCCATAAAATAGGAGTGTTTAACAGAGCAATAAGAACGCTTAATTGAAACTTAAATCGTTTGTTACAATTGAGACCTACTCATGTAGGCATCCTGGTTCAACTGGCCATCATAAACTGTTAGCAAGCAACCTTCTCTGCAAAAATTCCTCTATAACCAGTTGTAATAATAAATCCATGTTTATATGGCATGATTTAGTGAATAATGTTTGAATAGGAAGGCGTCTCAACGAATCTTAGATCTTCACCTTTCTTTGCTCCTCTTTCCTTCTGTGTGGCTGGGGACTTACTTGGGCCATGCTTACTTTCATTTAGATCATTTTCAGCATATTATGTCAACCCCAATCAAGGACAGTTGTTCACAGTGGCTGTCATTGATTGAAACAAGCCAGCTTCATAGTCCATGGTTTGAAGCTGTTTTGAAAGTTAACCTTCTTAGGTCAGCCATAACTGAATCCACAATGACCCCCTCGTCCAGATCATATCATGCTAAGATCTGATAAAGTGGAAAGTCAGCACTACCTGTGTTCTCCCTGTGACCACACTGAAGCAGGAGGGGAGGACGCCTAAGGCCCACAGGTGCATGTGACATGAAATATTCCTTTGTCATAGTAGCCAGTGAACCAAGAATCTGAGTCAGTTTACTGTAGCTTCTAATGCTCCTGGGTAACTCATTTATGTACAGATGAAGCTAAAAGGAGCCATGATATGCTATATGTGGGAACACAAGACTATGCGTACAGGTCCCATTTAAAGTCTCGTGCTTTATTATTTACATTAAACAGATCCTGCTGAAGATAAAGAGCTATTCGACAAGACAAGAGGAACTGTGAGTATTGATGAGACAAAAAAGGCCAGGAAAAATAGCTAGAAAAGGCACCTTGAAAATATTTCATCGCTATTAGCCAGCTGTTTTGGTGTTGCAGCGCTTAGAACTTGTGATCTGCTGCTTAAAACATTCGATGGGTTTGTTGTATTTCTTTATTTGAAAGGCATTTAGGGTCCCCTTCCATAAGATTAATGAGGTGGTATATAAGAAAACACAATACAAAACAGTAAAATGTTTATTTCTGATGGAGTTCGAATTCCACTCTGTCCATGATGCCGCTAGATTGACTTTGGAACATCCACATCTTCCTTCCTTATTTCCCCATCTATAGTATGGGACTAATGATATATGGTATGTCAGAACAAGACCAAAAAAAACCCCACACCTCATTAGTAGACATTCATGAGAAAAATATCCTTTAAAAATGGGAATATTTGAAAATGCCCTGCATCCAACAACAGACCTCCTCGTCTTGAATGGGTGCTGTTATGTTGATTACTTCCTTTTTTTCTGCCTTAGGATGACCAAGGACAAAATAAGATATATATTAAGCCCAGCCGACACGTTGGCCCCTTCACAACCATTGTTCTTGGTTGGCCTGAAAACAGCAACCGCTCTCTCTACACATGGTCGTGTGGTATGCAGTTTTCCCCTCTATCTTTTCATACTCTTCTTCCCTCTCCCTGCAGTGTGGTTGAATTCACCGTTCCAAATAACTTACCTACTAGAGCAGTTGTTCTCGACCTCAGGTCCCCAGATGTTCTTGGAGTACATCTCCCAGAAAATCTGGCTAGCACAGATCGCGGTGAAGACTTCTGCCAGTTTTGGTCCAAGAACCTCTGGTGACCCAAGGTTGGGAACCACTGCCCCGGAAGCCTGGCGACCCAAGGTTGGGAACCACTGCCCTGCAGGGAGGGTCAACCCTGGAGAGGAGGAGCAAACTCTGTATTTTAAAAGAGTGGATGACTCAGCAGAAAAGTTTGTTTTCAGGGTACTGCTGGCCTGAATGGGCTGAATGTGTGGAACAGAAATCCATCCGCACAGACCAAAGAGAAATCCAGATCCCGCACGCCTGCTTACCTCCTCCCAGCTCTGCCGTGACTGTGAAAGTTTTGGTCCAAAACCCAGAGAAAGAAGACAAAGGGGATGAGCAGTGCCTTTACGTCACAGCAAGAAAAGAACTGAGACCCCAAATCAGGTGTGCTTTTATTCTTTCGTTTCTTCAAACTTTGAGAATCTGGGAAATAACCAAATGGAGATCTCTCAAGGATATTAATGCACTTGACTGGTGATTAGGAAACCCCATGTATTCTTCTTAATGTTCACATATTATGTGTTTTGTGCTTATCTAGTGAGTTTCATGGTTCAATAGAAATGAGATCCTACATCTCTCAAGCCACCCTCCAGTGCTCTGACCACTACACCACACTAGCCCTCTGACTAGACTAGAGATCCTAAGTCTGTACGGTGTATCCTTCCCTAGAGATAGTTCTGGAAGCCAATTACAGTAGTTCTGTACTGTCCACAGACTTTTTTGCTTCCCTAAATTATATCAGACCCCAGAGTATGACTTTACCCTGCTTCTTTTCTCCCCATGCTGTGAAAAACCAGTATTCTTGGTCTCTAAGCCAATAATAGGAATGGGCTCATTTTATATATATATCACAGCTAACCATGGTTAAGGAAAATTATCCATGGTTTCATGTGATGTCTGAATGATCAAACCATGGTTTGCCATCAGTCAACCAACCAGAATCAGAAACCATGTTTGAAAGTATGCTAACTATGTTATCTGAATTGACCAACTATGGTAATAAAATACTCTAAAAAGACTGGTTTAGTTCTATATTTGCAAGCAGCTCTAAGCCATGCCAATTGCTTCACTTTTTAATGCTAAAACAGTGACATCTAACATTAGATCTTGGAGTAATTAGAGACTTTTCCTCATTTGTATGATAGACTCTCAAGGCTGCCTGAAACATAATATAAAACTGTTGACCTTGTTAAAGCTGTGTCTTGACACTGTCTTTTTACATGTCCTGATTGTTGCAGATCATTTAAGGAATTGGGGGGGGGATTATATTGTATATCCCCATTTGGTATATAATGACTTTTATAACATCAACATAAATATTACATCGATATCTGGCCCTGGTCTCTAACAGAACTGAAAGTAATATGCTTGGGGTTTGCTAGCAACCTCCAGTCCCGGAACTAGACATGAGTACCTCCAGCCAGGTTGCTTTTAGGCTGTGCCCCAGGTATTAAGTAAGATTCCTACATGTTACAGAGACACAAAACAAACCCAGCAAGCGAGGTGGCTTGGGGTCTCAGTCAAGCCAGCCGTGCATCATCAGAAAGGCGTTCTACTAAAGTAACATTTGAGAAAACCGTTTCTTTCAATCATGACACCTTGAAGGACTGGTGGGGAAATTGTCAGCCTTCTGGATGTTGTTGGACTCCAACTCCCATTAGCCTGTGACCACACACTCCCCACCACTGCCATAGAGGCCAATTGAGCAGGTGAGCATCATTTCTCTTTGGGAGCATTTTTCCGTGTGTGTTAACCACCGTTCCTGCCTTCTTTTTAGCTGTGAGAGGAACTGCAAGCTCGTGAATGTCACAGAAGATGTTACGCTCAGCGTCTCTGCAGCAACAGGCTCAAAGCCTACACTCTACAAGTGGTACTTAGATCACACTTTCCAAAAACGGGTGAGCCTCTTGTCTATTTGGGGAATTCTGCCTCTCCACCCATGCCCATACCCACTCTGAAGAGGATATTTCCTAGACATGCCCTACAAGTGCTCCACTTGAAACAAGGCAAGACACAAGAGACATGAGCAAACCTTGCAAGAACTTAATGGCCAGTCTTTTCCGAAGACAGGGTGGAAAACTCACTGAGGCCCCGGTCACGTGAGGAAAATGATCTCTAGTTAGAGCATTGTCTTCCCCCCCCCCCGGTCACGTGATGCACAATCAAGATGGAAGTATCTTCCCAGACAGCAGTGTGACTGTGGTCTATTTTCCACTCCCTAGGAGGCTTGTGTTATTTTGTACCTGTGTTGTATATCCATGTATTCCTTACCGGAATTGCCTGTGTGCATGACCTGCCTAACCTTGAATTGGTACCATGGTGTAAGCTAGTCATAATGATTCCAACAGGAGGAAATATTACTGCTAAAAGTTCTCCAGATGTTCGCCCTGGTCTATATACCACAGGACCATAATTCAGTACAACAGAGGCATGGAAAGGATCAGAAGAACTAGAGAATAGTTCCCTCCTATGCCCAGGGCCTGAGTTACAGCTACTTTAAAATCCATATTTATTTGGTTTTTTCTCTTCTGATCGGTTTCTTTCTCCAGACCAGTCTGCTCCCACCTGTGTGTGGATTGATTGGTTTCCCACAAAGCTCGCTCACCTTGCTTCAGAGCGATACAGCAACGCTGGTGCTGAACAGTTCCTTTCTGCAGACACAAGGAGAAGCCTTCCGAATTAAAGTAACAGGTTGCGATCTGGATTTTGAATAATCTGTTTTAATTATTTCGTCCAGACACAAGGAGAAGCCTTCCGAATTAAAGTAACAGGTGGCGATCTGGATTTCGAATAATCTGTTTTAATTATTTCATTTGCTTCTTTAGGAGAAGCCTTCCGAATTAAAGTAACAGGTGGCGATCTGGATTTCGAATAATCTGTTTTAATTATTTCATTTGCTTCTTTAGGGGGTAACTGTCTAGCGAGGTACCACTGTATATGTATGTAATTGACAAATATCAAGTGGCGATTTAGCTGCAAAAAAAAAAATTCTCAGCTTTGTTCTATTTCCCCCTGCACTTGCTAAGCCCCACTTAGATTTCTTAATTTTGGATTAGAAAAGTGGGGGGCGTCTTATACATGGAAAAATATGGTAGTTATGCACATATAACCCACTGTGCTTTCCTCCATCAGGACCATCTGAAATATTCCATTTTCCTTCCATTTATGTAGCCCCCTTCCCCTTCCAAAAAAAACATTGACTCTTGCGGAGGTACACAACCTTTCCCCTTTGTTAATACAAAATCAATAAATTTTCCCATTATGTGCTATTTTTTTCTGCTGGAACATCTCTTCTGAATCACCCCCTCTTTTTTTATGGTGTGCTAATTCTGGAGTTGTGACTAGAGATGGTCATGAGCTGCCAATTTGGTGGTTTGTGCTGGTTTGCTTATTGCGTATTGGCTACACAGGTGTTCGGTGCGTTGTAGCCCCGCCTCCTCTTGCAGGTGCTCACTCAGGGGCAGCACTTCGACTTTCCTGCCCCGCCTCCCCTGGCAGTTGCCCACTGAGTGCCCACTGACATATTTTATTTCTGAATTTTCCAGTGATGAGTGAACACAAATATGGTGAAGAAACCTATGTGATCAGCACGGTGCCTCCGCCAGCGACCCCAGTATGCGGAATTTCTCCTACACAAGGGACTGTCCTCACCAGCTTCTCCATCTCCTGCCATTCATCCTGCCTGGAGGACCAGTGCCCTCTGATTGACAGCTCCCCACTCACATACTGCTTCTATCTGGAATCAAGTAAGCATCATAGCTGTTTGGTTGTTTACGTCTCTAAAGAAGACTACAGGGAGAGATGATCACACTTTTCAAATACTTGAAAAGTTGTCCAACAGAGGAGGAGCAGGATCTGTTCTCAAACATCCTAGAATGGAGGACATGAAAGAATGGGCTCCAGATAGCAGAAGCCAGATTTAGGATGAGTATCAGGAAAAACTTCCTAACTGTTCGAGCAGTATGACAACGGAACCCATGACCTCAGGAGATGCTGAGCACTCCAATGCTGGAGGTATTCAAGAGAAAATTGGACCACCATCTGTCAGATTTGCTTTGACTTGGATTCCTGCACCGAGCATGGGGTTGGACTTGATGGGCTTATAGCCCCCTTCAATTCTATGATTGATTGATTGATTGATTGATTGATTGACTGACTGACTGATTGATTGATTGATTGATTGATTTATGCCCTCACCAGCTTCTCCATCTCCTGCCATTCATCCTGCCTGGAGGACCAGTGCCCTCTGATTGACAGCTCCCCACTCACATACTGCTTCTATCTGGAATCAAGTAAGCATCATAGCTGTTTGGTTGTTTACGTCTCTAAAGAAGACTACAGGGAGATATGATCACACTTTTCAAATACTTGAAAAGTTGTCCAACAGAGGAGGAGCAGGATCTGTTCTCAAACATCCTAGAATGCAGGACATGAAAGAATGGGCTCCAGATAGCAGAAGCCAGATTTAGGATGAGTATCAGGAAAAACTTCCTAACTGTTTGAGCAGTATGACAACGGAACCAATGACCTCAGGAGATGCTGAGCACTCCAATGCTGGAGGTATTCAAGAGAAAATTGGACCACCATCTGTCAGATTTGCTTTGACTTGGATTCCTGCACCGAACATGGGGTTGGACTTGATGGGCTTATAGCCCCCTTCCAATTCTATGATTTATTTATTTATTTAATTTTTATGCTGCTTTTCTCCTGATAAAGGGACTCTTATTCTGTTCCAACAGCAGATTCCACTTGTCTGTACACCAGTGCCCTCTGATTGACAGCTCCCCACTCACATACTGCTTCTATCTGGAATCAAGTAAGCATCATAGCTGTTTGGTTGTTTACGTCTCTAAAGAAGACTACAGGGAGAGATGATCACACTTTTCAAATACTTGAAAAGTTGTCCAACAGAGGAGGAGCAGGATCTGTTCTCAATCATCCTAGAATGCAGGACATGAAAGAATGGGCTCCAGATAGCGGAAGCCAGATTTAGGATGAGTATCAGGAAAAACTTCCTAACTGTTCGAGCAGTATGACAACGGAACCCATGACCTCAGGAGATGCTGAGCACTCCAATGCTGGAGGTATTCAAGAGAAAATTGGACCATCATCTGTCAGATTTGCTTTGACTTGGATTCCTGCACCGAGCATGGGGGTGGACTTGATGGGCTTATAGCCCCCTTCAATTCTATGATTGATTGTTTGATTGATTGATTGATTGACTGACTGACTGATTGATTGATTGATTGATTGATTTATGCTGCTTTTCTCCTGATAAAGCGACTCTTATTCTGTTCCAACAGCAGATTCTACTTGTCTGTATCTAATTTGTCCTGTGCCTAAACAGCTGTGACTGTATATATAAAGTTCCAGTCTCGGACTGCTGCAGCATAGCAAGTGGGTGTGTTTTTATGTGTGTGGCCAATTAAAGCAGTGATGGACATGTTCTTTCATTCTGTTACCATCAAATCTTCTCTACCAAGAGTCATCCACAGATTTTTCACCTAACTCATAGCTTGCCAATGGCCTGGACATGATACGGAAGGGACGTGCCCCTGATTTGGTAGACTACACCTCCTGGCATCCCCACCCAGTTTGGACATCTACCCGGATATGGGGAGGTGTTGTCCAGCATTTCTGAACGGTCACTGAGTTCAGCTGTTCTGTCGGCTCCACCCAGGACATCCGTCTATCCATCGTACCTCTCTGGTTGGGTTCATCTTCTTCTGCTGTGCCCCTTGAAGTCTTGATACACAGATGTGCTTTGAGCTAGATGTGGGCCAAGTGTAGCCTCCCCCAGAGGTTGTCAGCCTAGAACTCAAAGCTCTTGTTGTCTATTTCTACTTGTCTGTATCTAATTTGTCCTGTGCCTAAACAGCTGTGACTGTATATATAAAGTTCCAGTCTCGGACTGCTGCAGCATAGCAAGTGGGTGTGTTTTTATGTGTGTGGCCAATTAAAGCAGTGATGGACATGTTCTTTCATTCTGTTACCATCAAATCTTCTCTACCAAGAGTCATCCACAGATTTTTCACCTAACTCATAGCTTGCCAATGGCCTGGACATGATATGGAAGGGAGGTGCCCCTGATTTGGTAGACTACACCTCCCGGCATCCCCACCCAGCTTGGACATCTGCCCGGATATGGGGAGGCGTTGTCCAGCATTTCTGAATGGTCACTGAGTTCAGCTGTTCTGTTGGCTCCACCCAGGACATCCGTCTATCCATCGTACCTCTCTGGTTGGGTTCATCTTCTTCTGCTGTGCCCCTTGAAGTCTTGATACACAGATGTGCTTTGAGCTAGATGTGGGCCAAGTGTAGCCTCCCCCAGAGGTTGTCAGCCTAGAACTCAAAGCCTTTCATCTTGTTGGCTACGCTGGCCAGGACGGATGGGCAATGGACCTGAGCAATATTAGGATGGCTGCGTTTTTGGCCACCCCATTCCAACTCTTTTCTATAAGCTGCCTGGAGTATTTGGAGGTGGTAGGTGGGTGAATGCTAGAAATCTTCAGCCATTAAGGGTCCCTGTCTGTCATGGTGATTGATCTGTCTTCTGCCCCTTGCAGATTCTCTCCTACACTGTGGACCAGATTCTGCTCTTCCCTCGGTTTACCTTCCGCTTGGAGATGAGGACGCTGATTTTCTTTTACTGATCCACATTGCTGTGAGCAACAGCTATGGTGACACGGTTCACACGAACACCACTGTCAAAGTAGGTGCCACATTCCCCACATTCAAAACATTCTTTACATCCTGAATACAACACTTTTTGTTTAGTTTTATGAAGTTCTTATCAAACTAATTTTTTAAGACTATCCTTGGCCGTCATGAAATAAATAAATCTGGGTGATCTCTGAGCCTTCTTCTTGTCTCATTAGGTTCAGCCTGAGGATCTAAGCGGTAAGAACCAGACCTTCCAGGCCATCATTTCAGAAAAATCCAACATGATCCTGAAAGGCAAGAACAACAGCATGTCTCTGTTCCAGTTGTACAAGTCGGTTTCTTCTGTGCTTAATCAAGAGGCCAAGGAAGAGAGCGTGAATTCATCTCTGCGGACAGATACCAAGAAAGAGGTCAGCTCTGTATTGTGGCTCATATCCCCAGTTCAGATTCTGAACCCAACTGGTCCTAAGTCATTTGAGGCTCAAAAGAGGAACGGTCAACTTCAGAACTTGAAACTTGTGATGGTCCCCCCAGTTTGGGTCCCTCACTATAGCCATTCAACCACACTACCCTTCTTGTCCTATTATACCAACATATAAACCATATATAAAATATAATAAAAAATGTAAACATTCTAGAGACAAGTTATTCAAGATGGAAAAAAAGGGGGGGGGAAAGAAAAAATATAAGAAGAAAAAGATAAAGAAATCAAGCATTAGCTGGAGTGAAGGCCTGCATAAATGTCCAAGTCTTCAGTTGGTTTTTAAAGATGCCCAGCGAAGGGGCCACATGAATCTCTGGAGGTAGGTTATTCCAGAGGCGAGGAGCCACTGCTGAAAAGGCCCAGTTTCTTGTTTTTTCCTTCTGGGCCTCCCTCGGCGTCAAGTTCCTCAGCCTCACCTCCTGACTCGATCAGGTGATATGGGTAGATTTTGGTGGGAGTAGGCGTTCCGCCAAGTATCAAGACCCTGAACCATTTAGGGCTTTATACATAAGCATTAAAACTTTGAAGTCAATGCGGAACTGCATTGACTTCAAGCTCAAATTTGATGGTGTCCTATCCCTTTTGCCCTTCCACCCTTCCACCACAATAATATGGGCCTCCAAGACCCTCTCTGAAAATGAATCTGGCCCTCAGGCCTGAAAGGGCTTCCACGTCCTTTGCTTAAAGCCATTCTCCTCTCCTTCTTGGAAGCTGAGCTCAGAAGCAGAGTGCTCAATTGAGAAATGGAAGGAGCTAGCCTCCTAAACTCCGATCTTTGAGCACCAAAATACTGAACATCCTGACAGCAACACTTGGCATCCATTTAAGCTTCTAGTCTCCCTTTAACAGGCTACCCCATGTAGAGAACGTTGCAGTAATCCAATCTGAAAGAATGAAGATTGAACCCATCCTATTACTTGCTCCTCGGCTAATAAAAAGGATCTCCCACTGATACAGCCTCATTCCCTAGTTCCCGGAGCATTGCTTTGGCACGGAACATGTGGCGATGAATGGGGCTTATATTCTTTTCATTTTCTGAGAATGCAAATCCCAGCCAGCATTTTCCAAAATGCCTCTAGATGTCTGGATCAAAGAAGCTGGAAAGGCATAAAGTATTGTTTAATTTGGCATGAATAATTAATCTTTTCAAAGGCGAGAGGGACCCGGTACTTGGCACTAAAGGACTTAATCTGTTTGTCTCGCTAGAACTCTAATTACTGTTGGTGGAGATGCCCACATAGATTTTTTTTATATTAGGGGAAAGAACTATTCTTCTAACTATCTCATTAATAGGTAGGTAAATCACCAATTTGCAATGAGAGTAAATGTCATCTTAAAATAAACCTGGTAAGTAAAATTACTTCCCACCTCATGCCCTGCACAGAATGGGGTGGGGAACATTTTCAGCCTTCCAAATATTTTGGACTACAACTCCCATTCATACTATTGGCTATGATAGGTGGTTTTAAGGGGAACGGCAGGGTAAAAATATTTTAAATGAAAAAAATAAAGTAAATGTGATGGGTTGAATTCCAAAACATCAAGGGTTCTGAGAGCTGAATTCTAAAACATTAAGAGATCTGAGAGCTGAATTCCAAAAAATTAAGATTTCTGAGAGCTGAATTCCAAAACATCAAGAGTTCTGAGAGCTGAATTCGAAAACATCAAGAGTTCTTTCCTCTTGCTCTATAGTAGTAATTCCCACCCTTGGGTCTCCAGGTATTCTTGGACTACAACTCCAGAAATCTGGGCCAGCACAGCTAGTGGTGAAGGCTTCTGGGAATTTTAGTCCAAGAACATCTGGGAACCCAAGACAGGGAACTATTGGTTTATAGGAAACAAGTCTATTAGTAAGCAGCAGCACTTGCATCAACTTTATTGACACACTGACAGGTGCCTAGGATGATGATGAGCTGGGAACAGGTGAAAAAGCTGAGCCTGTCCAGACATGAGAACAAGGCTGTAATAAGGTCAGGGCAGCAAAATTTACAGGGTGCTAAAATCTGGAGGTGAGAATACAGATAAATGTTAGGATAACAATAAATGGAAACATATTCTGGACCTGTTCCCTTCCTTCTCTTGAAAGCAGAAACTTACATTTTCTTTTTGAAAGATACCAAGAAGAAATTTCCCAGTGGTAAGATCTATTTGGCATTGGGACAGATTTTCCAGGAGATGTTTAATTAGAGGTGGTGTAGCCATCTCTCAAGGACGTTACAGTGGCAGAGTTCTTCTGCTGATCTTGTCGGAGGCTGGACTAGAGAGTGGAAGAGTTACTCTTTTGGACCACAATTCCTTGCTGGTTGGGGGATTCTGGAAGATATAGTCCAAAAAAATAACTTCCATGAGGTTAGGTTTGGAACTAGATGAGCCTCAAGGTTTATTCCATCTTGGTTGTTCTCTGTACCTGTTCTCCCTTGTCTAAGCATCTCTCCTTACCTCCCAAGCTGAGGGAGCTGATGTTGACAACCCTCTCCACTGTGAATGTAACATCGATGCAGACGGCTCTGAAGATGTCAGAAGTCCTCCAAGACATCACGTACAGAAGCGAAGAGCTTTCTTTTTCTGCACAGGTGAGCAGCTGGCTGTGATGTGTTGCTTCCCACCTGTACAGGCTTGAGACAAGTATAAAGATACTGGAACCAAAGGCTGAAATCCAGTAGTACGTTGCAACTAGGGTAGGCCCATTGAATCAATGGAGGTAAGTCAACTCTACTGTAAGTCCCATTGATTCAACTAGTAATTAGTTGACCCTTCCAGCACCCTCTCCAGGTTGCAGCATGGTCACGATTGAGTGATCTGTATTTGATTTGGGAAGACAAGACCTAAGAAGTGTCTGCCATGTTATGCCCTGTTGTTTGGGTCAGTTTGGGCGGGCAGGATGTGTGTATGTTCACAGGCATCTCTTCCTGCTCAGGTGGAAGCTGGTCACACCCTCAAGAGTGTCAGTGAATCTTTGCTGATGGCACACAGTGAAGACGATCAACGCAAGCAGCATCGCAAGGAGGCAGCCGCCTATCTCTTCCACGCCGTGAGCAATGTTCTTGAGGCTACTGCACAGAACGGAACAGAGGATGCTTCAGCTTCAGACACAGCACAGGTGAGCTTCCTACATCCTGGTGCAGGAAAATAACCATAGATACTGCAGATCACTACAGCGGCGTCTTCAATGTCCTTGTCTTATGTAGGCAGCAGAAATGGCTGGTGACTTACTTTCCCATGGACAGTGCATCTGCTCCAGGTTTTAATCTAAGGAAAGAATATTTAGAATGGATATTTATCCCATGGTTTACATTGTGTTTCTTACTGTTCCTTTTAGTATTCTTTTCTCCTGACCGCACAACATTAGTGCTAATTGTGAATGCCTCCCATTTTGTTTGGTTTATAGCATTTCCACTCGAGTTATTTTGTCTTTTGTTCTGACTCCTATCCTCCGAAGATGTGAGCCACAGAGACTGGCGAAACGTTAGGAAGAAAAACCTTAAGAAAGCGGCCAAACAGCCCGAAAAACCTACAACAACCATCAGATCCCGGCCGTGAAAGCCTTTGAGAATACATTATTTTGTCTTGCTTTTGGTTTGTGTGATTATTGGTCCTTTACGATTGTTGCTGGGCAAGTCCTCATGGCATTATTGGTGACGTTCATAGTGATGTGGGAATGAAAACAGAGAGAGAAAAAGGATTTGAACGCTGGCAAAAGGGAGAGAAGTAAGAGGGTGGTGGTAATAGCAGAGAAGGGTGATGTCTGGGCACTTGGACCTTCTCAGGATAATTAAAAATTTCTGTGTGAACAGTGACAGTGATTTAAATGCTGGAATGCTGTATAGACATGCACTTTGGCAGGCTTTCCCTTAATGAGTGGAAGTCTGAGAGGGGATTTGTAAATGGATTGTTGTGGTCTGTTGCTTTTAAATGTGTTTTCAGTATTGATTTTATTTACTTGTTCAGTTCTTTTAGCTTTTAAACGTTTCCTTTTTAATGATGTAAACTGCCTCAGGGCCTTTTAAGGCGTAAAGATATTTGAGAGAGAGAGAGAGAGAGGTTCGCATCAAACCAGGACAAAGTTTTCTGCAGCAGGTCTCAAGGAGGTGTCCAAGGTCCTGAATACTTTCAGGATAAAGTTCGGAACTTTGAATACCACCAGTGAGGTTCAGACTAAAACTCGGAGTGGCTTCACTCCTCAGTGTTTGTGACTGTTGGACATCAGGGAGCTGCTAGCCCCATATCTGACCAAGCAGAGGGACCTGTTTTCTCAGAATCCTGTCTTGTTCTTATGCCTCAAAAGTGGGAGAGGAAAACTTGGATTTATACCAGCTAAGTCTAAGCGATCTGGAGTGAGTTAGGTATCTGGCTGTGAAGCCAGACATTGGGAGTTCAGTTCCCCACTGTGCACATCAGTCTGTGTGGATACCCCCAGAATAAGGGAATGGCAAACAATTTCTGAGTACAGTGGTGCCTCGCTTAACGGGTGCCCTGTTTAATGACGAAACTGCTTAGCGGCAAAGATTTTGCGATCGCTTTTGTGATCGCATTGCGATGTTCCCTATAGAAAAAAATCACGTTGCAATGATCGGTACCCTGTTTCGGTTACCGATTTTCGCATAGCGATGTTTTTCCTACAGCTGATTGGCAGTTCCAAAATGGCTGCCGGGAAAAAAATGGCCACCCGCTGTGTTTTGGGACAGATTCCTCACTTACCGGGCAGCAAAAATGGCTGCCGTATGGAGGATTTTCGCTTAAAGGTGAGTTTTAAGCCCATAGGAATGCATTGAAGGGGTTTCAATGCATTCCTATGGGCTTTTTAAAATCGCATAGTGACGAAATCACTTTGCAGTGATTTTTGCTGTGCGGATTATTGTCGCTACACGAGGCACCACTGTATTCTCTGCCTAGAAAATGCTGAAAAGGATCTCCATAAGTCAGAAATGACTTGACAGCACACAACTATTTTTATTTACTTGAATCAAGTCACTCTCGAATTGGCCTTCTCAGCCACACTAGATGCTTTCCAAGTCCTCCATACAGAGCACGTTACCCTAGTCTCTCGAGACTGAAGGATGCCTAACATGGGAATGTCCCAGTTACTGAGAGGAAGAGGATTAAACTAAAAGATGCTAATATTTTGTATTTCCTATTTGAATGTGCCCCCTCATTGAAATACACCCCTGCCAATCTCTCCAAATCTCAGCTCAGCCCTTGGCCTAAAATACCTTCCCCTCCCTTGATGTATTCCCACTTGCTTTTGGTGTCATGCTAGGGAAAATACGAGGCATGTTTTTTGAAGAAAAATAAACTTTGACTATAGATTGCATAATTCTCCAGCAGTCAGATGGGGCTGGTTACAGAGATCATATAACCCCCCTGTTACAGCACTTCCACTGGCTGCCAATCTAGATCCAGGCACAATTCAAAGTGCTGGTTCTAAGCTATAAACCTCTAAATGGAATGAAGTAGGCTAAAGCAATTTGGGTCCCACCCCATTCAATAGGTGCCCTTAGGTCCAGATCAATGTTCACATTCATTTCCCATTTCCCTGGAGCCAAATCTGTGCATTCTGCCTCTATAGTGCCAATAGTTCTGAATCAAAGAGATCCCTTAGTCTTGCGGGTATTGATTGAAGCTGGTCCACAAATCTTGCATTTCTAAGGGACGAAGCCATGGCAGTTAAAGCGATGACAAATCGTTAAAACTGTATAGTGTAGATCCACTCAACAAATGGGGGAAAACAAGATCCTGGCGAAGCAGGAATTGCTCAGAAAAACAGAACAGGTTGTAATTTAATTTACTAGATGGCTGACACTCCAACATTCTGTTTCCAACTGAAGTTAGCTTCTCCAATTTCTTCTTCTCTGTCTTCACTTGCTCTTGATTTTTTTTCTCCTGATCCTTCTCTGGAAAGGTTACAGACCGATGACGTAAACAGGACCTCCATTAATATCTGTAACTCCAGCTCTGCCAGTTTCACCTTGCCTTCTGCCTCCTCTCTCGGCATTTCAGAAGACCGTGATGAGACGGTGGACATCAGGGCAAGTGAATCATTGGTTTCCTCTGGGATTTCGTTCTATTATCTTTTTTTTCCCCTATCAAGATTTTAATTTCTGTTTTAATAGTATTAATGAAATGGCAATGATGATTCACACAGCCCTCACTCAGGCACCCTATCTCGTGCAATAACCTGGCTCACAGTTGGATTTGGGCTTTGAAATAAGGCCTGGTGTTTCCTTCTTCACATTGCTTTGCCCAATCTGGTGTCTTGTGGACTTGTGGAACTACAATTTCTATCATCCCCAGTTGATTGATCTCTTGTGAGACCCAGTTACCATGGGATGTGTTGATTGGAAATGATGGGCATTACAGTTTCACACCCCTGAAGGCACCATGTTGAGGAAGGCTGGCATCGTACTTTTCTGAGCCATAACTCCAAAGAATTTGCTGGCTGAGGCAACTCTGGCCATCGTAGTTGAAAAATTACCTTTCCTATACTCCAGATAGTATACACCATTTTGTACTGAACCTTGGTTTTCAGACATATCTGTTAAATTCATTTCGAAACACTCTTCCCTGAGTGAATGGGAATGTTCCATCAATGGCCACCATCAATACTGGACTCTGGAGTTTTGAATCAAATACAGTGGTGCCTCGCTTGATGAGGATAATCCGTCCCAGCAAAATCGCTGTAGAGCGAAATCCTCATCAAGCGAAATAAAAAAGCCAATTGAAATGCATTGAAAACTGGTTCAATGCATTCCAATGGGCTAAATACCTCAGCGTCCAGCGAAGATCCTCCATAGGGCAGCCATTTTCTGCTCCCTGTGTAGTGAAAAATCCATCCTAAAGCACTGTGGGGAGCCATTTTACACAGCGGGCGGCCATTTTGAAATCCGACGATCAGCTGTTTTGATTGTCGTAATGCGAAGAATCAGTTCCCGAAGCGGGGAACTGATCGTCGGGAAGCAAAAAAACATCGTTTTGCAATCGTAATAACGATCGCAAAAATATCATCGTGGAGCAGATTCGTTGTTTAACGAGGTAATTGTTAAGCGAGGCACCACTGTACAGTACAGCTTTGAGCAAATGCCTTTGGTAATTCAAACACCCCTTCTTGCAGATGGTGAGCTTCTCTGTCAATCCCTTCTCTCCACGTGACAGCTTTGAGATCCACAGTGCTGTAGGAGGCCTCACCCTCACCAGTCTAGATGGCTTGGCCATTCCAGTTCATAACCTTGAGGAAGACATTGAGGTAATTTTCCTGACGGTGCACTTGCCTTTATACTTCCCTGGGGTGTCCACCCTCCTTGATAAGGATTTACCAAGGTCTGGAAAAGTTACAGCAATGGTCATGTCAGCTAGGGAATTCTGAGATGTATAGTCCCCCAAAATTAATAATAGTAAGCAATGGTGTGATTAGACAGTGAGGAAGGATCACTCTCGAAAGGGTTGCATTCATGGGAAAAAAGATCTCTGCTAAAGAGACCTTTCCATCATTACAGAAATGGTTCCAGTGGAGTAGCCCTCCTGCTAGACCAAAATGGTTTCAGCTTGGGCATGGATCAAGGCTGGGCTAGTTTGTGATCTCTCCATCATGTAGCCATGAGAAAATACCTCATTGGGCATGGATCAAGGCTGGGCTAGTTTGCGATCTCCTCTCCATCATGTAGCCATGAGAAAATAGCTCGCACCAGATTGTGCCATAAGCAGTCCAAAATGTGAGCTATTTCTCCATTTGCATCCAATGTCCTTCAGGCCCTGGGACACACATCTCTATATTGTCTCCAGTGAGTGAAAGGGGGAAAAATAATTAAGGTTTAGTTGTTTTTCCAGAACTGAATTGTTGATTTTAAATGCAGATAATGTTGCCAAGGAGTTTGGCAATTCCGGACAAGAAGAATGTGTTGATTCTGGGAAACTCCAGTGCCCTACAAGTCAATGTGACCTCAGCCAACACATCAGTAGTGATTCACTTGGAAATGGACCAAAACATCCCACTTACCTTATATTTGGGCTATGGCTATCATCCCAATGAGACTGACTATGAATTGATGATACACCTTCCTTACAACGGAGGTAAAATGAATCAGTTCTGTACCTGCTTTGATCACTTTTCAGATTGCTAGATTCCTCAGCAGTCTTGTCCTGATACCTTGAAACATGGAGAATGCTGCCAAGGAATTATGTGATCCAGAACAACAAGAACATGTTGTCTGGGAGATTTCAGTGTCATCCAAGTTTTGCACCTGATACAGTTCTAGTAATTCATCTGCAGCTGGACTGTATATTTGAATTGTGACTGTCTTACCATATATTTGGACTGTGACTGTCCTCCTAATAAGACTAAGGAGTCAATGAGACGTGTTCCTTACAATAAAAACAGTGGAGGTAAAATTAATTGACTCTGTGTCAGATATCAGATGCTCATTCCCCTACCAATCAGAAGGATGGTGTAGATCTGTAATGCAAGGGTAGACAAGCCGGTGCTCTCCATATGCTTTCAGTGTCAGCAGCTAAGGATGTTCATTTTGGATTTTGGGGGGTTAACAAACCCCATAATTCTCATTTCTGGGAGCCCCACTGGTAGCACCCAGATTTTACAGACCCTTAAATTGTCCTAACCTGGGGAGAAGGCCCAGCGGTCAGTGTTTATGTCTTGGATAGGTCTCCCAGTTTGAAAACGAAGCTTCCCCTGGTGGTTCTGAACACATGTAGCAATCTGCTAGAATGTTCACATGTCCCCTGGTAAAGTTGCCAATGAATGTAAAAACCGGCCTCTATCGCTGTTTCTCTAGCAGTGATGCTAGCTGGGATAATCTGGGTACTAAAGTCTAAGAAACTTGCTTTGCAAGAGTCTAAAAGTAACTTTGCAAAAATCTGTTCTGAACTAAAATTCTGTTCCAGATGAGATACATTCATGGATCCTCTACCCTGAAGACCTTGTTTTTGGAGAAGGGACTTACTACCTTGTAGTGAAACCAGAAACCGAACTGAGGGCTGTTGGTGTTGGCGATATAAATGTTTCCATCACTTGTTTTATATCCCAGTGCGTATTCTGGGACGAGATCCATGGGAACTGGAATAGCTATGGATGCCATGTGAGTAGACAGAAGCCAAAGAACGATGCAGCTGAGATGTTAAGGTGGCAGCATGTTGATGAATATGTTGCTATATAAAGATCAAGGCTGGTTGACAAGATGGCGCTCACCCTCCCATCAACAGGTAACCCCTGTTTCTCCTGAAACCAAGCCTGACACTTTATCCATTGCTACCACACTGACTCTCAGAAAGGCCAGAATCCTGTTGGCGTTTGTGCAAGATTTGTGCAACCTGCCATGGCTAATTGGAGCTGATGGTTGAGACACTGGGCTGCATCTTGGTTTCGCCATTCATTGAACTGCAGTATTCTTGTTAGAACTAACATTTGGATTCAATAATAATCCCATGCTGTCAAGCCAATTCTGAGTTATGGGTTATGGCAACCCTTTTCAGGTTTTTCTAGGTAGAGAATATGCAGAAGTGGTTTCCTGTTCCCTTCTTCTGCTGGGGATCCCTGGGACTGCACAGCTTGCCCAAGGCCACACAGGCTGGGTCCTCTCCTGGGAGCCTCAGAGGGGAATCGAACTCCCAATCTCCATAGCCAGAGACCTAAACCACTGAGTGTGTGTGTGTGTGTGTGTGTGGATGTGTGTGTGTGTGTGTGTGTGTGTGTGTGTGTGAGTGAGAGAGAGAGAGAGAGAGAGAGAGAGAGAGAGAGAGAGAGATCCTTCACTGGGAAGATGGAAGGCAATAACCTAGGATGGGATGGGATGCAAGACAAGCTATATGACATTCACAGCCCTGTCTCTATTGCACCTATCCTTTGGGATCCGATACGTAAGGCCACTGCTTCACTCTTTCTCGCAACCACTAATAAAAGTGCACAAATGTCTACATACGAAGCATGCAGGGTTATTTTTAGATTATTGGCCATAGTCATATGGCGGCTCTTTCTTGGCTTGCAGGTGGGCTCCCGGACCACCCCCAGCAGCACTCAGTGTCTCTGCAACCACCTGACCTTCTTTGGAAGCTCCTTCTTTGTGATGCCAAACACCATTGACGTCAGCAAGACGGTGGAGCTGTTTGCCACCTTTGTGGACAATCCCGTGGTCGTGACGACGGTGGCCTGCCTTTTTCTGGCTTACCTCCTGGTCCTGGTCTGGGCCAGGAGGAAAGATATCCAAGATGATGCCAAAGTAGGTCACGTGCTAAATCTGTCCTTCCCCGGTAAGGAGCAAAGCGTCCCCCCTCTCTGTTTGCTAAGATTGTTATGGGTGGATTGCTAACCGTGGTTTAGGACAAGAGAGTAAAGTAATCCTATTTGGAAAAGTGAAGCCTTGGTCAAACATACCAACAGTTCTATTAGAGATCTCTGTTAAGGAGTGTCTCCTTCAGCCCAATACAGTGCACATTGACTTGGCAGGTCCAAAAATGGGATAAAGGGAAAATCTGCCTTCCTTTTGCAGACTATAAATGTACCATTTGAGGAGTGATATGGGCCAGAGGGTAGGTCAAAGGGAGCTCATTCTCCGGCAGCCAAAACACATCGCCGCTGGTATTTCCTGACGCATGTTAGGCTCAAGCAGAACCCACAAGATGGCGCTGTGCATTGCCTGCTGTTCAAGGATATGGGCTTAGATCCGATGCTTTGGTATCTCTGCCGTATGTGGCTTCCATTCAAACATCAATTGCCCAACATCTTTCGGTTCAGCAACGTTTCAATCCTGGAACTCTTCTGAAAGACAGCAGTCAATTTCAGAAGAGTCAAGGGATACAAATAGGTTTTACTAAATAATGTCATCGTAATCACCCAATAAGTGGTGGTGGGGGATTTATTTTGATTTTCTACAGGGGTTCCCAATCTTGATCCCCATAAGTTCTTGGACCAAAACTCCCAGAAGCCCTTGCCAGCACAGCTAGTGGCGAAGGCTTCTGGGAGTTGCAGTCCAAGAATGTAAGGGGGACCCAAAGTTGGCAACCACTGTACTAGACTATCAAGATCCACCCATCAGAATTTGCAGCAAAACACATGCCTTTAGCATTAAAGAGTTCTGAGACCAAAGATATAAGTTCTTTTTCACAGGATAAGCTCCATCCCCACTGGAATATAAGAAGGTCTCTGTAAAGTAAGAAAAACTGCATACAGTTTTTTTAAAATCAGGAAGCAAAAATCAAATTTACCTTCCCCTTCTTTTTACAGATTTTTTTGCCTTTATCCTATACATCCTATTTTCCTTTCCCAGCTCTGTGGGTTTTTTTCTTCTAATGTTGTCCTATTTCTCTCTAGGTGAAGATAACAGTATTAGAGGACAATGACCCTTTTGCATTATATCGCTACCTGGTGACGGTTTATACTGGTCATCGCCGAGGAGCAGCGACAACTTCAAAGGTCCAGCTGAAATCCTGACTATCGCTACAGCCGCAGAAAGGGTTATAGTTTATATCATTCTCTGCCTCCCTGAGCAGCCAACCACTGCGGGGCAGGGAGTCTCTCTGCTTAGCCAGTGAGTGGTAAACTGTGCAGGGAGGCAGGGAAGAGCTAGCCAGGCTCCTTCTGTGATTGGTGCAATGGAGCTAAGCGCTGTGCCGTGAACAGTGAGTGGACCAGCTGGTTCTGGGGGGGGGAATGGGCCTCTGTGGCACCTTTGTTGCCGCTATTCGTAGTTGTATTCCCAGAGATATAAATAATCCATGTCTCTTGGGAACCACTGATCCACTGTATTTATTTGATGTTAATTTGAGAAAATTTCAGTTCAGTTCATTTTAAATGAAGATTTCGGCAGCTGTCCCCAGACTATGGAACGCCATCCCCAGTTAGATTCATCTGGCACTGACAACATTTCAGTGTCAGGTCAAAACCTTCCTGTTCCAGAAGGCTTTTAATTGAAATAATATCAACTGTGGGTCCTGATGGCAATTTTTAGAGTATCTATTTTAATTGTATTTTAATTGTTTTTTTTAAACTGGATTTTAATTGTCGTAAGCCACCCAGAGAGAGACCTTTGGGTAGTGTGGGCGGCATATAAGTTAAATAAATGTATATATAAATAGATAAATCTACTCCAGATGAGTATGCCAGGTCCATCACAGATGAATAAAGCTAGAAGCCTTTATGGATAAAGGATACAGCTTGGAAAAACCCACCTATTTTTGGACTATAGCTCTCACAGTATCTACTAGCCAGTTACGGTGTCTCTTCCCCCCCCCCCCCCAAAAACTTTTCCACGGAATGGATACGTCGCCACA